GGATTGTATGGAAATACGTAAAAGAAGTAATTAGCAAACCCTAATTGCAAGATAAATGAACTGAATTGAATCACTTGCACACTTCACCTCTAGGGTAATCTCTCTTGTTTCTTTGGGGAAAAAATAGTCATATCTCTTGAATGTAGGAGATTTTAGCAGTGTCCTTTTGGTTATAACATCATGAGTCACTCGATGACCCTTTCGTAGTTGCCTCGGTAAAAGATCTTAAAACCTTAGTCTAATTGCTAAAATATCTTACGAGTTGCTTTCGTGACTATACGGTGACCTTATGCATGTCCCTCAAACATCCAATGGTAGGGCTTCCTACCAACTAATGGTAGGATAGAAATATCTAAATGAAGAGTAAAATAACGCTAAATACTTTTGAGTAAGGGTAGTTCCTGTTAATAGCTTGCTCATAACTTAAAACACTTTTTCACACCTCACACTTTCAAAAATATTTTCAAAACTCTTTATGAACACTCTTGAGGACTGATACAAGAGTTATCATAAAGAAAACTGCCTTGCTATTTGGCACTTCAAATTTTTTTTCAAAAGCATACAAACACAAAACAAACAAAGTGAGCAAGCGACTAAGAGCCCGTAGATAACTACGGGTGAAAAGGGTACTAACACCTTCCCTTTTTATAATCTACCCCCCGTACTCAAAATTCTCAAAGGTCTTTCCTGTTCTTTTCAACCTTTCCTTATAGGATAAAAGAAAATTCGGTGGCGACTCTAGTTATCCGCACATTTTGGATAAACCAAAAAGTCAGTTCTCCCACCGTATTACAACCATCTTACATAGAAAAAGTATTTGTGTTTTACATATGCTTAAAGTTAAAGTTAACCAAGAGGCGTGTCCACTATTTATTAGTCTGTAGATGCATTAGTAGGGGACTTAGTAGCTGGTTTAGGCTCTCATTTTGATCCTTCACTTGTAAATGTCCAACTAGCATAATTTTTTATACTTGTTGGGGGCTTGATTTCCATGTCTATTATCTGTATGACAAGGGAGACTACATTGATATCCATAGCTTCACCTTTTTACACCTTTTGATCTTTCTTTAGAGCCTTATATATCCTATTCACCCCAAATAAGATGCCGCTAATCATCACCCACTCTTTGTGGACATTGTGGTATTTCATATTAAGGTAGACCAGGTTAGGATCTATGTGCTTACAGGTATAGTTAAGAAGTTCTCCAAGATGGTGAATCTTATGGGTAGCAAATATACAAGTCAACTAGTAGCTGGATAGTTTTGGTGATGACAACACTTGAAGTCAATCAACTACTAAAGATTTCTCAATAGGTCAAAATGCACAATATTGTTGATCAAGTTATCCTGCTGAATAAATCTAGACATCTATTTAAAGTAAACCCTTTAGGCTAATAACTTTCTAGTGAAGACTTAGGTTTCAATTATAATTGTGGTTTAAACTTTTAAACTCTCAAATGATGGTAATAAACATAAATAGGGGGTTTTAATTGGGTTTCTAGTATTAAATCATTTCAAACTCCCAAACATCGAAAAATACTCATGCATAAAGTAAACAACAATAATAAAAGACACGAGCATTTTTATCATGGTTCACCGTTAACTAGGTTAGTCCAGTCCAACCACCAGAGGGATTTTTACTTATTAATATGGACTTAATCCAATAATCAATTCCATTATTAAAACCACAAAGACTATCCATGAATGTCTTCTCAAGGATCCTGACTAAAACTTTAGTCCCTTATAGAATTAAACTCAAAGACAAAATGTCAATGATATCTCAAGTATTATGACTAAACTTAGTCACTCAAGGAAAACCTTAATAACAATTTTTATTTACTTTTCAAGGATTTTGACCTAACATGGTCCCTTAAATAAATCCTCAATAACAAGAGCTATTGACATCTCAAGATTCTAACCAAACTAGGTCCATCAAGGAAATTAACCAACTTGTTAAATACAATGTTTATGTGTATACGTGATTGCTTCTACAGAAAGTTGATTACACAAAAATTAAGCTTACAAGGAAACACTTAGAATAATTTAGAACAAAAAGCTCTAAGTGTTTTTATCTTGTTGTTCTTGAAGATCTTCAAAACACTTGCTCTTTTCTTCTTGCTTTCAATTGAAAGGTGTTAATTTGTTTCTTTAGCTGCATGTACTTCTTTGATTTGGATATTCTTTGATCTTCTTGAGAGCTCTTTTATACTTTCATGAAGTTTTACATATATTTTCTTCTTCTTCTTGTATGTGTCTTCTTCTTCTTTATGTGTTTTCTTTTTTATGCAACTTCTTTTTTTCTTTGTGTTTCTCACTCTCTTGTGTAAATTTTGTCTACATCATGTACTTAATTTCAATCTTACAAATTTCTCTTTAAATAGATAGATAAAATATATTCGTTGGAGAAGGAGAGATTCAGTAACTAGATAACACATAGGTGTTAGAGATGTTAGTTAATCCAAGAGTAGAGTGGAGATAGCAGCACTAGGATAGATAGTGGGATGTGTGAAAGTAGTAATGATACAGTGAATAATCATTTATCCTAATTTACAGGGTAATGGATAGGATGTTCTAGTGTAGTCACGTGATCTTGTACTTTATTAATATTTTCACACAAGACTTCCTTCACAACTAACTTCGTGATTAAGAGGCTTCTGATAGAATTAGATGAAGCTTGATCAGAGGTCATAGTCACAATCTTTCCTCACTTATAAATACTTGATTCAGAGGATTCTGGTGGAATGAGATGAAGCTTGATCAGATTTAGTCTTTGGAGCTTTGAGGTATCAAAGTCGTAGAGAGTTAGAGTATGTCTCAGATATCTTCTGGATAGATTATTGTAGATGATACGGGTTAGACGATGACGAATACTTATCTAGAGGGGATGAATAGATCCATAAGTAAAATTACCTTTCAAAAATAGGTAATTAGAAACTTATTTGAAATACAATATTATGCAAAAGATTTTTATCCTAGACCAAAAAAGTCGTCTAAACAAACCTAGTTATTGGAAACTCAAATATGCGAAAGTCGTATGGAATTAATCAATGATAAAAGTAATCAACACAATTGTTTCATAATTAATCGTTTGTAACAAATCACTATAACTATCTATGTCCAATGAAATTGTGTTAAAAACAAAAATTTCCAATTTATCGAACACTTGGCGCACAATAAAATTTTCAGAATTTCTCTTGAGCTTTGTTAATTTGAGAACACCACTTACAAACAAAGTGATTATAAGCTGACCAACAAAGCAATTTAAACATTAACAATCAAATAAAAATTATATACGAATTGATCAATCAAACACCAAGTTCAAAAAATTGCATATAGAAAGTAAATGAGAGAGAGAGAGCGACATAAGGATTTGTCTTGGAAATTCACCAATTGTCTTCACTATGGCTACTTCTCCCCCCAATTCTATTTTGGAAATGAGATCAATTTCTTACTTTTCAAAAACTTGATTACAAGAGAAGTGTTCCAAGAGCCACCCTACAAACCTTAACTGTTTGATGTTGATTCAACCCCTTCTTTTATTTTGATCTTGAGCAAGACAAAGACACAATAGATCCAATTGATTCCCTATGTCACGCTACTCCTTTGTGACATACACAATTTTTAAAGGTTTCACTCGATCGAATCCAATTGCAAACTATTGACCACAAGATATTTCAATACGATTCACCTTCTCGCGCTATTCCTTTGCAAGATCTCCAATCGTAAAATCTTTCACTCAGTTGAATCCACTATTGCGAAGTATTGAACAAAACCCCCAAACTAGAAAAGATCTTGGAGGATAAACCATAGGTTTTTCCAGATGAAACACCCCACAATTCTCAACTAAATATTTTCGGTTACACTAACCTAATTGGACGTTATTAAACCTCGTCTAGATGGAACCCCAACAAAAAATGATTATGTTTAGTTTGTTAGTGTGTATGCATAGGTTGAAGGTTGAATATGAATAGCATTGGTGTTGAGTATTTATAGTTTCATCAAGTTGAATGGTGCATGTATGATGTATTTATAGTTGAGGACATTTCGTGGCAAAGATGGAAACTTAGATATTAAAAAATAGTTAAAAATTGACCCAACTAATAGGATGTAACATGATGTCAAACATTGATACATGTTCCAACCTTAAATGAGTTATGTGTCGAAAAATGAGAAACAAAGTCTACGTGCTTTAATATTGTCGTACGTGTGTCGGCCTGGAAATTGTATGTGAGGACACATATAATTAAAACTTCAGTATGTGCCGTCCTGAAATGAGTTATGTGCCGACACATGCAACACCGACGCTAAGGCTTTAATATTAAGGTACATGTTCCGGTTTGAAAATTGCATGTGCCGGCACATGCAACTGATTTTTCTACAGAAACTTATTTTTCATGTTTTATACCAACTTCTAACTTGTTCTAGATGTTTCCTAAGACCTCTAATGCAATGGTGCACCAAAATAAATTAGACATATTGTCCAATATATAGAAATACTAAGTTCTCATAGTTTTGACATCATACAAAACATCTAAAGGAAAGTTACACTCACATACTCCTCATTTTTTATGATGGCAAAATTGCGACGATGCATTTCATGTTTTTATTTGACGCTCCCCTTGGCTATGTGCTTCCCAACTTTAACTCGTATATGTTTTTCCCCCTTTGACAACATAAAAAATATACATAGGAGATGATTAGAAGTATCATAATTCAACTCAATTGCCAATATGTCATACAGAGGCGTTTTTGCAAAATAAGAACACGCACTCACATATACCCATATATATGGAATGATGCAAAATTGACAATATTAAATAGAAGACAATTTTGAACCAAATTATCCAACGAAACATAATTAAATCAAAATCATAACTTGTTCATAAAATCTTATCCAAACATAAAATAGTTCAAAACCATAGATGAAAATGTCATGAAATGTATGAAGAAATAGAACAAACAAACGCTTAGAAAAATAACTAAAATGGAAGACAAAAATGATCAATGACCCCTAGGACCTCTATAGAATCTTTGATAAGTTCTCATACCCCTCTCCACAGAGTCACACATTTCTTGGTAGAATTGGGAAGACTCCTCATGATTGTGTGTAGAGGTGTTAACCATGTTGTTAATTTTGATTTGGGTAGCATCATTATTGGAGCTAATTTCATCGTGGATTGACTGGAAATGTGTAGTAGCAAAAAATTGTAGAGGCGTCAAAGTTTGTATCCTGAGTGGACATGTGCTCATGAATAAGTCTAATTTTTTCATCATGAGCAGCCTGGAAAGCAACTCTCCACTCTAGCTCTTCTTCATACCTTTGATTTTTCTACAGTTGCATATTATTAAGCATAGCAGTGACATCAGAGTCATATGCATTACCAGATCCATACCTGCTCGCTTGTGAGCCTGAAGCAAAATTATGAGAACATGTATCAAAACCATGGTAGTCATCTCCTTGTTGCGTCCAAGTATGGTGTGGCCATTGACCCAAACCTTGTTTACCCTTTTTTTTGCTATGTTGCATCATTCCACCAATCCTCATCATGTTCATAATCGCATCAGGCATATGCATATCTTCTTGAGGAACATCAACAATTTGTTCTTCATCACTATCAACAAAATTGTCCTTAAAGTCAACAAAATCATTAAAACTATAGACTTTCTTCTTGGATTTCTCCACCTGAAAGTAATATACTTTCTTTTGGGTATAAAAAGATACCTCATATTTTCCAGAGTGAATTGAGTGAATTATTGACTAGTACTTGAAGAGATGTACACTAGATTAGGTACATCAATTTTATAAGAGTTAATGATTTTGGTAATCATAGATGCATAGCATAATTAACTCCTTTTGTTGCATCTTTAGAATGAAAACATCCGAGATACAAAATAATGTTGCCAATTTATTTTGATCTTATTAAGAAGGATGTAGATAAGGTGTGTTTCAATATTATTAACTCTAGAGATTCCACCTCTTTTTGGATGCAGTATATGATAAATAAGCCAATGCAAGATGTGAGGAACTTGCTTCAGATGGACAGTGGTTACATTTTCACAGTTGTTATCAGCCTATGGTACCTTCAGTTGTTCATTGAGATGCATTCTCCACTTAAATTCTGAGTGAGAATTTGTATCAGTTACTTGGGGCTCGTATCCTATGGTGATCCCAAACAAATACTTCCACATAGCATTAGTAAACGTATGTACTTTACCTCCCATAAGAAATTTGAATTCGGATCCCCTACGCTCATGTAAACAGACATAGAGCATACGAGTCAAGTCTTCATCGTAGTCTTGAGCCAGCTTAGGAAGTAGTTGATACCTTGATGATTCATACGAATAAAAACTTATGGAATATGAAGGTCTTCAACTGTTCTAACTTTGTAGTAGTGTTGCTTGGCCACAATTCTATTTTGGCACTTGTTATCAAAGAATTCAAGAATCTCATCATCCACCAACAAAAAAAACAGTTTATGGAGAACTTGAAGATGCATCAACCTTCTTCTTACCCTTTCCAACATTCTTACCTTTTGCAACCTTAGGAGCCATTAGGAATTCTTCAAACTGAAATTGCACACAAGGTGTTTGACAAAAATCCCAAGCGAAAATAGTAGGATTTTGAGCAACTTTTGGACTCCCCAATATGCCTAACAATGAAATGAGGATGTATAATGAACACAATTCACGGTTTTACACAAATAATATGCAATTTCAAATGAAGCATGCTTTGAAGATGCAACCTTGATAAGATATATATGTATTTATGGAGAGGAGGCCTTGGGGAGAATTGAATAAGAATATTGGATGGAGGAATGGATTAATGATTTGAGGTAGATATGGTTTTAAGACAATTAGTGGGAATTAAAGATTGAAGTTGGACTGAAATTTTGAGTGGGAGAGAAATCTTTTAGGTTATGTTCATTGAACCTAGGGATTTTGGATAAGAAGAGGAAAATAATCAGACTAGAGAGGCTTATTTGCCCACACGTGTCGGCCCAAAACTGGTTATGTGCCGGCACGTTGGACTTATGTGTAGACCTGTACTGAAGGAAAGACTTAGGATTTGAAAAATCAAGTTTATATGTCAGCACATTAAACTCTTGTGTCGATGCATACTGATTGAAAATAAAATATGTTGAAAAAATTATTGGATGTGTTAACAGATACGATCTCCGTGCCGACACATAATAAGTTAAATTAAACAAATCTTTAATTTTAATAGAGTAGGCCGATTTGAATGCATCATGTGTTGACACATGCACTGCAAGGGAGTGACAATTTTTGGCATATCATATTTTTGACTTGTTTTTTACTAGGTATTGAGTGACAGATCTTGACTCATGCATGAGTCACACTACTACGAAAAACTCATTTAACAATGGTTGGTAAATACATATAATCACGCGGGACCAGGCATTATTGTGTAGAGTGTTGTTGTAAATTCACTACTAACATTCATGGTCTTGAGGTCATTGTAGTATTATGGTAAGCTCGTGTAATATAACAAGGATTATGTTTATTAACCGTTGTGATATATAAGGTATTGGGTTAGAAACCCAACAACAAATAAATTACATTAGATCACGGTTAATATAAAAAACCGTTGTGGAGCGTACCCATAGTTTATTATATACAAATGTATATTACTTATTTTACCATACACCTCATTAAAGAAATACAACCATTAAAATTGGTAAAGAATTATATAATCTGAAAACTATACTATTCTTGAAAACCAACTTAAACACACCATTGAATTCAAAATTTCATGCATCTCATTAAACACATTTTATGTTCTTTAACACATATATGGTTTAGTGGTTGGATTCATTCAATGCATCTATATCTTTTATTATTTTTTACCTCATCATTGTCGCTTATCATCGTGATTGTTATGATTGTTAGAACATAGTTTTGTTTTATATCTTAGTAATAGTCTTGATGATAACAGATACATGATATATAAAAAGAACAAATATGCTCTCTAATAAATTATTTATATATGCAGAGAACTTCTGATAAAGAAGCATAGAAGTTGGAAAACAATTTGCACTAAAGTAGATATGATAAAAGATCACAGAAGATGATGAGTGCATTTGTGTTTTGAAGTTATGATTAAACGAATCGTACAGACTTAGAAGCAAAATTGTATGAACACGCTCAATAGAAGAAGTAATGATGTTATAACTTCTGAAGCACCAAAGTCACAAGCTAAAATCTGATACTATGATAAGTGAAGTTCTGGGAGAACAAAGTAAGTCTCAACGTACTCATCTATACTGAAGTTCTAAGACTCAGCACTTAAGCTTAAGCTACACTCTGACAAGTGAATATTCTGAAAGTACAAAGAAGCTTCAACGTGTCTGTCTCATTCAAGTTATGATCATGTGAATCTCAAGAAACTTTGATGATCTAAAGTATTAATGTTAATATTCTTATTCTGATCAGATTTCAAATAAGCAAAGTTAGATGTGTTACAATTCATTCATTACAAATCAAAGAGTAACGGTTGGAACAAGACAAGATCTGTATTTTTTGAAAGTGCATTAACAAACATTTTATAACCTTCCAAATATAGTTTCTTATGTCTCCAACGGCTCAATTAACTTCTTCTATATAAAGAGTCTATGAAGATGAATCAATTAGAAAACATATACAATTTAAAGAACTTACACATGCATATCAAGAGATCATCAGTCACACATAACAACAAGAGTGATCACGAAAAATTCTCTATTTTATAATTGTGCTTTAATCTTATGTAAACATCACAGTTGTGATATAGCTTTTTAGAAGCATTTATTAAACACATTATTTATGTTAGAAAAGTTATAATTCCTTGAGAAACCAAGTTGTGGTTTAGTCTCAAGAAGACATTGACGATAGTCTTTGTGAGTTATAATTTCTTGAGAAACCAAGTTGTGGTTTGATCTCAAGAAGAAATTGATAATTGTCTTCGTGAATTGTAATCAAGTTTTGATTAGTGGATTAATACTTCAATTGAGAGAAGAAAAATCACCTTGGCGGGTGGAATGGCGTAGTTTGAGTTCAAACGAACCAGGATAACCAAACGTGTCATATACTGTTTTAATTTTTTGAAAACCCCAATTCAACCCCCCCCTTCTTGTGTTTTTATATCCTCCAATTGGCATCAGAGCGCCTGGTTCTGGGTGCTAACACTTAACTGTGTAAGAAAAAAGATCCTAGCAAAAAAACACTATGGTGGAACCAGTTCAGAACAACAATGATGATAAAGACAAAATCAGTGGCAAACCCCTAATGTTTGACGGTGAAAATTTTGATTACTGGAATGACATAATCAAAAGTTTCTTTCTAGCTCATGACGCTGATCTCTAGGATATGGTGATTGATGGCTACATTCATCCTAGTGATGAAAACAATCATAAGATTGATAGAAAGAAAATGTTAGATCAACAAAAGAAAGAATTCAGAAACCACCACAAAGCCAGAACAATATTTTTGAGTGATATCTCATATACTGAGTATGAGAAGATCGTAAACAGAGATTCTGCTAAAAACATGTTTGACTCTTTGAGAATGAAACACGAAGGCAACACACAAGTCAAAGAGACCAAAACTCTTGCACTCGTCCAGAAGTACAAAGCTTTCAAAATGGAATAATAAGAAGAAAATATCAAGACAATGTTCTCAAGGTTTCAAATTCTAGTTGCTAGATTGAAAGTTCTAGACAAAGGGTACTCCACAACAGATCATGTAAAGAAAATCATTAGAAGCTTACCCAAGAAGTGGAGACCCATGGTCACAACCTTAAAATAGCCAAAGATCTTAATAATATATCTCTTGAAGAACTTATCAACTCTCTTAGAAGTCACGAGATAGAACTAGAAGATGATGAGACCTAGAAGAAAGGTAAGTCTCTTGCTCTTAAATCTAATAAAAAATTAAACTAAAGCTTTTCAGGCAGAAGAAGAATGCTCTAGTGGATCCTCATCAGAAGAAGACAAATTATCTCTTCTCTCCAGAAGAGTCCATCTGCTATGAAAGCACAAATAGAGGGAATTCAAAAACCCCATAAGAACATGTAATCACTCTGAATCTTCCTTCGAATACAAAAAGTCTAGCAGCAAAGATGTCGTCTACTACAAATGCAAAGAGCCAAGTCACTAAAAAGGCGACTTCGCCAAGCTTCAGAAAGAAAAGCCTAATAAGAAGTTCTTCAAAGAAAAGAAGAAAAGTCTTATGGCAACGTGGGATAACTCAGAATCTTCTGAAGCAAAATCAGCATTAGAAGATGAACTCGCTAATATTGGTTTAATGGCCAACATATCAGATGACACTAGTTCATCTGAATCAGAATCAGACTCAAGCAGGATATGTATTCTCTAACATTTCTAGATCTCAATTAGAAGATATTTTGTCTGAAATTCTTGAAAGATATCAACAACTTCGAGTCAAAAACAAGAACCTAAAACATAGTTTAATATCTGACTCCGAAGAAACTAGAAAACTAAAAGCAGAAAATTCTGAGCTAAAAGAAATGATGTGGTATTTTTGTAAGTATACGAAATGCGTTAGGGTAATATA